TGTATTACAGATATTGTATCAATTGCCTTTATCCTGCGATGGGTGATGCTTAGGACCATGGGCATGGTCATTCCTTACGTCTCGTCTAATGCTTTTGTTGGAGACGATCATCAGCTAGCATTGTACTTAAACTCCGTGTGAGTGTGTGTGGTTTTGAACAAATGGCTTCCGCTACTTTTATTTGAACTCGGTTTGTAATAACTATGTTTAAACTCCGATGTACATGTGATGCGAACTTTTATGTAATATGTGATGGTGACCGCTAAACTTATTACGATCTTGGCTGGTATGTGAGTTGGTTTGAAATCCTTCATGATTTCATGGACTACCGGGTTATACGGGCTTAAGTTTGCTAAATCGTCTGCTCTGGCGGGCGATTTTTTTACTTAATTTCGTATAATTGGTCGGTTCTGTTACAGGCACCATCCCCTCCTGCTGTCTTCGGCGTGACTTCCCCCGGCGGCGTGGACTCGACCGCCCCCGTGACTTCCCGACGGCGCGAACTCCCCCGGCGACCGCGTCGTGTCTCAGTCCGTGACTTCCCGGTGACGCGAGCTAATCTGAACGCCCCGCTCTATGCTCCAGGTATGCCTCCGCTATCTGCTCCAGATCTAAACACGACACATTTAAATTTGGACCAAATTTATGTTTGAATTTAAATTTGAATATTTGTATTTTTCATTTATTATTTTACGCAAGGTGCTTTATTGTTACTCCCTCCGTCCCCTAAAAGAATGCAATTCTGGAACAGTGTCACGTTTTAGTATAGTTTGACCAATTATAGATAAAAACTATAAATATTTATAATATCAAATAAACACCATTAGATTAATTACAAAATGCATTTTCATAATAAATTGATTTGAAGCCATAGATGTGAATACAATTTACTAGAAACTTGGTTAAACATATGAAGCACTTTAACCCGCACGCATACCATAGTTGCATTCTTTTTCAGGACAGAAGTAATATAGTTTAAATAAATTATTATATAATATGACGTTCTCAAATACATATGCATATATGTGAGAGGAAATAGAGGGAATTAAGAATAGGGGCTTTATTTTAGGGGCTTCTGTTGGAATTCAGTCTAAAAAAAACATGGCCCCCATAAGTAGAGAGAACACCCAAATAAAAAATAGAGGCCTTGTTTTAGAGGCTACTGTTGAAATTGCTCTGGAGGTTACTACTAGGACATTTTTGTTAAGCAAGGTACATAGGAGTAGGTGAAAATAAGGTGAAACCAAACCAACAATAAATCCCCTGCCCCTGCCTGCCGCCAGAATCTAGAGTGTTCGGCTGAACAACAAGCCTGTTCTACTTCTTTTTTCGGTTGGAGTAATATTTTTCTCTCACAACATTCCAGTATAAACAGTGTTTTTCAACATAAACAGTGAAAAATTCCTACCAGCCGAGCACCGGACACTTTTGTTAAGCAAGCTATGTAGTAGGTCCAAAAAGGTACGGTTGTTACACAGACAGTGTGTTGATGTTGTTTCCTCCTATTTTCTTCGCAATCTTCTGCTCACCTACTCCTACCGAATGAATCTTTGGTGTGGGAAATACGGGTGAATGGTCCGATCGTGGAAAAAAAAAATCTTTAGTGTGGACCCGGCAGCCTGATGATCCCCGATCGGCGATCGCCATTTCTGTTATATAGTACTCCGTACGATATTGTTTTGACCTTTGCACTAGCACGTTACAAAATCTTAAATGCTGATTCTGAATTCCTTTTCAACCGGAACCGACTCCCCTTACCAAAAAAGAAGAAGAAGAGGAAAACCATACGCTTTCCTTCTCTTACAGAAAATAAGTATGGTTTGAGTCAGCACATTGCACATATAGATTTTTTTTCTCCCTTTTCCTTTAATGTCTTCAATTTGTACCCGGGTGATACCTGTTCTAACACGCCTCAATTTTTTTTTTGTTTCCCTTTCTTCTTTCTATCTAAAAGTATATAAATGGAACGGGACAAACTAAATTCAGGTGAAAGTGAAACAATGCTCATCCACGTCCTGAATTTAGTTACTGTCAACTTTCATGAATTCACTATGACTTATATACCATAGTTACGGTAATTATTTAGGTCCAATTTCTAGGTACAACTGATGTAACTAAAAGTTTAGGTGTGGGGAAGGAATATCTCATCCGATCGATTCTTACAACACCTTTTTATTTTAATTTTGGGTGTGAATCTCGTCTTAAAAAAACTATTTTTTTTTCTATAAAAACTAAAGAACATAGCAAAAGTTCAGAAGTCACCCCTCTTCACCACCTTGTAGTCTCACTCACGGACTCACGGTGGCGACGTGGCGTTGCCTCCAGGGCCCCCTTCCTGCACATGGCCCGCAGCGGACGCGCGTACACCTACACCACCTGCGCCGCCCGCATTACGAGGCAACAAGATGCTCTCGATCCCTCTCCTCTCTCTCATGATGGCTTTCCCAGAAAACAGCTAGGGAGTAGGGACTGAGACCGATTCCTCGAGGCAGAGAGGCCAAAGTGCAGGAAGCCTCCAACCGTAGATGCAACAGCCCATGTGAAGCGAGCGAAGGAAGAAAAGAGATCTTCGACTCTCCGTGACTTCGTCTCCTGGCCTTGTTTCTCTCCCTCCACTTTACCAGGGAGACGAGAACGAACCAGTTACTCTACCCTAGTACCCTACCCAACCAACATGTATGCCGCATATATATATAAGTTATTCAGTAGAACAGAGTATATTTAGTAGACAGCTACAAAATAAGTTATTCTATAGCCACCTCTATTTATGATAATTCGGTTACTATAACACATGGGGATATTTACCATAACGTTATAGTAAACCATTTAGTAATGAGTTACTATAATCTCGTAAATTAACATAGTAATTATCGTAACTCAAAATAGCTACAAAATAAGTTATTTTGTAGCCAACTACATATAGTATATATATATATATATATATATATATATATATATATATATATATATATATATATATATATATATATATATATATATATATATATATAGAGAGAGAGAGAGAGAGAGAGAGAGAGACTACCCTAGCTTCCAGCCTTCCACTCCAACCAACCTCCGTCCCTGTCCCTCCATAGGTCCCAACAACCAAAGAAATTTGGTTGATTTAAAATTTGGTTTGGATTATTTGGTCTTTGGTTTATTGTTGTGAGAGAAAAAATCTTGTTAATTTGTTGGTTTTAAATGATTGAAATCAACAAGCGAACAGGCTGAAAAGCTCCACATGGCTGCATGTGAATGCGAGGCTCCTTGCTCTGCAGACAAGCGGCCTCTCTCCCCTTGGCACGCACTGTGCATGTGATCTCTGCTTGCCATGGTCAACTGAAAAAAAAACAAGTTCCAACTTGATCTTCTTTTCAGCATGTTCGTTCGTTGATTTCAACTAGAGCTTATCACCAATTAATAGTGTTTTTCTCTCACAATAAATCAGCACCAATTGGATTTATCAGCCCAGAAACCAATCGACGAACATGCTCTTTATCTTTACCAGGCTAGCAGGCTGCAGGCAGGAGGAGGAATGTACCGTGATCAGCAGGCAGGCATGTGGCGTAGCACAGGAAATTCAGAGAGATAAAAAAGGACTGGCCTGAACAGAGGCATCGATCCATGATCATGCGCCCTGTTCGCTTGTTTGGCTAAGGGCGCGTTTAGTTCCGAAATTTTTTGGCTTTTGGCTACTGTAGCACTTTCGTTGTTATTTGGTAAAAATTGTCCAATTATGGACTATTTAGGCTTAAAAGATTCGTCTCGCGATTTCTCGATGAACTGTGCAATTAGTTTTTTTTTTCATCTACATTTAATACTCCATGCATGTGCCGCAAGATTCGATGTGACAGGGAATCTTGAAAATTTTTGGTTTTTGGGTTGGAACTAAACGGGGCCTAATACCCTGTCTTGGCCTTTTGGCCATTTCCCATGCATGTTGTTGCTCTCATGAATAGAAGATTCTCTGCACTCTGCCGCCCATCTATCTCCTCTCACCACGGTCTTATTTAGATCACCTCTAAATTCTAAGTTTTTTTACTCTCTTTCCATCATATCAATTTTTGAACGCATGTATGAAGCATTAAATGTAGATAAAAAAATAACTAATTACACAGTTTAGTTATAAATCACGAGATGAATCTTTTGAGACTAGTTAGTCCATGATCGAACAAAATTTATCAAATACAAACAAAACGAGCAGTCACTAGTGCTGGGGACAAAACAGCCCAAAGTACATCCCCAGCATCTCTATCTCTACCCACGTCTCTTCATCTCCCACACCTACCTGCTACTCCGGTCCATGGACGCATCCACATCCAGAAGATCACAGCCATAACAAGCTCAACTAATTCTCCGGATTTGATCCCCATCAAGTGTCACAACAATGCACATCTCGGATTGTTTCTCCCATCTAGCGTCAGACTCAGACACACTTCTCACTTCTTGAGCTGTTCTGTTTGTTCTACCGACCAACTTTTGCGCTGCAATTGACACAGGAACCAATGCTACCATAAAGCAACGCACAAGTACAGAGCAACAACTGAGCTGAGACATGATCTTTTTTTTTTCTTTAGGTGACTATAGTTCAACAAATATAATGAACAAATCTCTGGGAATTCTCTTTACAAGCTTTCTTTTTGAAACAAATCTCTTTACAAACTTTCATTTTTCCCATTCATCCTCCCTATAAATAACACCCTTTTCCAATTCTACAATTTCCCCAAAAAAGCAGAGGAAAAAATTAATAAACCAACACATAATTTGTACGAGAGCTCTGTACCATGCCGTGACCGCGCACCTGTTGACGCGTCGTCGCGGCCAATGGCGGACACCCAGATCGATCCATTTGCCGCCTCCGGCGACCGCCCCGTACGAGTCGACGCCGGTGAGGTCGTGGCCGCTGTCCTGTCCTGCACGCCAGGGTGAACAATACAACACAGTTGGCGACCAACTGAGCCACGGCGGCGCGGATCGGTCGCTGTCCGTCGATCGGGCCGTCAGCCCGCGCGGATCCGCTTCTTGGGCGGCGGCAGGGCGAGGAACACGGTGGTGAGGTCGCGCGCGACGGGGAAGAAGGCCCGGCGCGCCGACGGCGCCGCGGAGGACGGGAACTTGCGCTTGGCCGGCGTCGACGGCGGAGGCGCCCACGCAGGCTTCCGCGGCGCCGGCGGGCACTCGGCCGGCGCCCGTAGCTGGCTCCCCTCTGACGTCGGCGTCGTGGGTTCCGTCTCCTGCTGGTGCTGGGCCTCCTCCGAGTCGGCCTCCCCCTGCTGCTTCTCCGCCGAAGGCAAGGTCGCCACCGACTCGGCGTCCGGCGCCGGCGCCGTCGACGACGATGCCGCCGAGGAGCAGGCGGCGGGCTCCGGCGCCGGTGGCGTGGTCCTGATCGGCGGCAGCGCAGGGTGGACGTTGGCCGCCGTGGAGCTCATCCTGCCGGCGCGCGCTCGGCCGCGGCCCGTGGGGTATCACGGGGCGACGCGGCGGTGGCTGCGAGGGAGGGAGGAAGTGAAAGTGCAAGGTGGTAGCGGCAAGCCGGCAAGCCGCGGAGGCTCTTAAATAGTGGTCGACGAGAGCGAGGAAGATTAACCGCTTTGAACAACTTTTCTGTGGGCCCCGGCTTTATTACTACCATCGACTTGGCTACTAGTTTTGGCATGCCATTATGCCAACATAGCCAGCATGGGTTTACAAAAAATAAATAATAGAAAAAAACAATTCTGAAGATGTTTTTTTTGGTTTAGGTCTCATCAGCAGCCAAATAATGTCTGACATAACAGACACTACTAGTCTTTGCTCACTAACCGAAAGTGAATTTCCAAATATTTCACTGAGGACACTAGTCTTTAGGCCTTGTTTAGTTGGCGAATTTTTTTTAAAAATGGTACTGTACCACTTTCGTTGTTATTTAACAATTAGTGTCCAATCATAGTCTAATTAGGCTTAAAAGATTCGTCTCGTAAATTTCGTCTAAACTGTGTAATTAGTTTTATTTTTTATTTATATTTAATGCTTCATGCATACGTCTAAAGATTCGATGTGACGGAAAATCTTGAAAAATTTTACAAAATTTTGGGAACTAAACAGGCACTTTGTTCACTAACCAAAAGTGGATTTCCAAATATTTCGCTGAAGGTCCATTCTGCTCAAATTTCAATCTTTTACTTTATCTAAAGTCTTAGACGTCATCATTACTTATGTAAGGCCATCCTCTGTGGATTCTCTGTAGAAATGTTTTGTTAGGCAAAATTCCAGACCTTTCATAGCAGGGAACATAAAATAGCCTTTAACTGGTGTCTGGTGGGGTTCCAACTTCCAATTGATGTCGCCCGAAGATGGTGTCCTGTTCGTTTTGCTGAAATTTGGCTTACGTTGAAATGCTATGAGAGGATCGAAAATACTGTTCGTTCGCTGAAAATTACTGCTAAAGTAGTGCAATAGAACAGTGATAGAGTATGATTAGAGCTAGTACAATTTGGCTTGTACTGTTCATTTAAATTTATGTTATTACTTGTATTGTTGAAACTAACGATACATATGGTTTAAAAATAATTGATGTGTACAAACTCTAAAAACAACCATACAATCCTAGAGATAGAGGATGATTAGAGCTAGTACAATTTGGCCTGTACTCTAAGCCTCTTCTCCATATACCTATAAATGTCTGCTCAGGGCCAATGCAATTAATAACTGATCAATGGAATTTTCTATCCATACCTACTGTTTTTCATATGACATCAAGAGCCATAGACTACCATCCTTCAAACATATACCTTCCATTTTCGCCGCCCCAGGGAGATATATCTCTAAATTCTCCCTAGGGCTGGCACTACATCCGTTGGCTAGTTTTCCTGCCCAAATAAGATATAGATTAGATTAGATATTTTTCAAATATCTCCCCCCATATGTACCTATAGATATCCTCTAAGGGCCAATGCAACCAATACCATATCAATAGGATTTTCTCCATACCTAATACTTTCCACAGTTTTTTACAATTTTACTCATTGGCCTATAACTAAAAGATTAACCCTAATAAAGTTGTTACTATTCTTCATTAATGTTAATTTGGACAAAGCAAGTGCTTTTGTATCATATATATCAATATCTTTGCATATGTATTTTTGAATATGTATTTTTTATTATAAAATATTTCATAATTAATTTAACGATACTTATTATGCATCATAAAGATCATAATATTTTTAATATTTAGTTAAACTTGAGATTGTTTGACTTCTCAAGAATATGATACCATGTCATAAAAATTGCATATGTTGCAATCTATTAAATATAAATTAAACTATGATGAAACTCTATTTAGACTGGTCTAAGGCGCACATATATCAAGATTTAAACTTTAAAATCTTTGACCAACCATTTGACTAATAAATTTTAATTACTACAATATAATACAAAATTAATATTGTTAGATTTATAATTAAATGTACCATCTAATTATCATAAAATTATAAGGACGAACAATATATAATATAAAATACATAAATAGTCGAAGTGTAATTTGAAAAACTGCGTCATACCAAATTGTGTCTTATAAAAGAGAATGGAAAGAGTATTTTTTCTTATCTTTTTTTTTCTAGTTGTTCGGTCATTATAAGAAAGAAAGAAAAGAGATAAAAGAAAAGTTGGGTGGTTTATTTGAAGTAGTTTGCGCAGTCAGCTTCACAATAATCAATGTCGTACGTGGAGCGGCGTACGTGTCCGTGTCCGATGGATCTCTCGCCATCCCATCTCAAATCTCAATCGACACCTACCTAGCTATTTTTCTTTGATTTTTCGGGATGGATGATGATGATCAGTAGAGTAGACTACGATTATGGAGTAGGATTTGCGTAGACGGAAACGTCATCGCACAGGCATGACCTGACTTGGTGCCTGTTTAGTTCGTAAAATTTTGCAAATTTTTTCAAGATTCTCCGTCACATCGAATCTTTGGACGCATGCATGAAGCATTAAATATAAATAAAAATAAAACTAATTACATAGTTTAGACGAAATTCACGAGACGAATCTTTTAAGCCTAATTAGACTATGATTGGACATTAATTGCCAAACAACAATAAAAGTGCTATAATACCATTTTCAAAAAAAATTCGCCAACTAAACGACGCCTTGAGTCATGGATGCAAGACGGCTAACCGATCCACTCAGCGACCATGCACGCAACGACGGATGCCGTTTCAAAATTAGTTATTCCACGACTGCATTATTAGCTCGCCAAGCTAGTGGCGGAGTAGGGGGCCGGCAGGGGCCATTGCCAGGATTTGACCAAATGGGATGTGTGTGTGTGTGTGTGTGTGTGTGTGTGTGTGTGTGTGTGTGTGTGTGTGTGTGTGAAAATTGGTATACCAATGATATACCAATGATAACAACATATGATAAAAATATGCGCGTATATACAAATATATGTATATTGAGTTAACAAGAGTATAAATAAATACCAAATCAATATTTGTTTTGCGATACAAAAGAAAGTTAAAAGTCTAAAATAACACTGAAAATTATAGCAAAAGAAAAAAATTAAATAGCTCTAAGCCTCTAATCTCTACCCAACTAGTCTAATTCATAGAACAAAATCATTGTAATAACGGGAATAAAAGAGAGGGAAAAGATAAAACACTAATTAACGTCATAACTAGCTAACTGGTCATATATTATGCAGATCAACTAAGCTGTTGTGTAGGAAAAACTACAATAATAATACTAATAAAAACAACATAGAGGGATAATATAACATAAATATTAGACATAAATCACATATATATCAATAAAGACTAACACAAAGAAGAGATGATAAATAAATACAACACTAATTAGTAATTTTTATTAGCTAATTAAGGGGTTATATAGTGGGGTACTAGGAAGGTTTGGGGGTGTGTGTGGCCCCCTGCCCCCCCCCCTCCCTCCGTCCCTGCCCACACACCATAACATATGACAACAATTTTTTATTAATATAATCTTACATTTTTTATATATTTAGTGAAAGGATATAACAAAATTATTGTTATATGCCTATTAATATCTTCTACTCCCATCGCCTAATAAAAAAATGTCATTCTTATTTTTCAAGAAGTCAAATATTTTTAACTTTGAAAAAATATATATAAGCAAAATATTAATATTTATAGCCCATAATTAGTATCATTAGATAGATTGTTCAATATATTTTTATAATAAACTTATTTAGAAATATAGATGCTACTAATATTTTCAAGAAACCTTATTTTCAGGAAACCTTATTAAAGTGTTTCATAGCAACACTTTTTATGAGATGGAAGGAGAAGTAGATAATAAAATTATACGAAAAACGACTAGATAATAAAATTATCTCTACGAACATCTCTGAAATACTAAATCGATACACCTCGAGATTTATGAAGTCACCATGAAGCCTTTCCTCAATGGACATGTCGCATACCTCTGAAATAATAGGGTCTTAGATTCTAGAATGCATATAAAAAATGTGAGCAATCGTGTTAAGTCGATGAATTAACCCAGACGATACCATGAAAAACCTAATCAGTTAAGCCACGCTCAGTTTTTACAAGTTGGTTTTTTCTGCCGGCCCCCTATGTATAAATTCTGGCTCCACTCCTGCCCTCAATCCTCATCCTCTCTCTCTATATGTGTGTGTGTGTGCGGTTGTTTGTTTTATCCTTGATCACTAGGCTTGCAGGAGAATCATATATATACTTGAATACCCTTCGAAGAGTACATACTTCTTGTTGGCCTTTAACCTGCCACCACCTTAGCCATAGCTTCTTATTTAGCCATCCCTAATGAATTTATCGTCGTCTAGCTGTCAAACGGTATCCATTGATTATTAATTATGGGCCTGTTCGCTGGTTGGTGCTGGTGCTGGTTTGGGCTGGCTGGTGCTGGTTTTTTGTGAGAGGAAAATATTGTTGGCTGGCTGGTTTGGGCTGGCTGAAACCAACAAGCGAACAGGCTGTATATATTTATATCTCACTCTACATGTAATGACTTACTATAAGAGAAATACATTTTTTTCCATTTGCATTATATTGTACTGGTTATTTTCAGTTGAGATCCATTCATTTGACTTCTCTTATATTCTTTTTAGCTACAAGGACTTTTCCCTTGGCTGTCTCATAGTGCCAGCATGAAGAAGGGTTGCCATCTTATTGCCTCGTATTGCCATCTAATATTCTGGAGCTAATCAGACAATTGGTGAGCATGAAGAAGGGTTGGATGACAATTCCTTTCAGACACCAGCATGCGTTTTTTCCTGAACTTCATGTACTTATTACGTCTACTACATGCTCATTAGCAGCGTGTTGCTTGCTTGCTTCTTTTTGTGATGATGTGCTTGTTTGTGACAGTGAAATATTCGCCCTGTTCGTTTGGCTTATAAGCCGTACTTTTTCAGCCAACGAACAGTATTTTTCTCTCACAACAAATAAACCAACAGTACTTTCAGTCATGGCTCAGCTAAGCGAACAGGGCAATTGTTTGCATGTGCTCACCCTATGCACCTTGGGGACTGCTTGCGCCACACCCACCAGTAAGAGCAGCCCCAACGCTGCAGGCTGGGCTGTTAGCCCCAGCCTCCATGTTGGTATTAGCCCCAGACTCCACATCCTATGGTTTCGCAAGGGTTTGTATTAGCCTGCAGAAGCAGCTGCTGCTTCGCCTGACGAAAGTGCGAGGCACCAACTGAATTCGCGTTGTGTACAAAGTAACAGTAGCCTCGTCACGCGCTTTCACGGTTTGTGAGCAAGGCCAGTAATAAAAGTCTGACAAAAGCTGAATCTACTTTTTACAAAGAACAACATCTTGCAGTTGGAGATTTGCAGCATGTTCGCTTGCTCGTAAACGATCGTAAATTTCTAGCCGGGAACAGTGTTTTTCTCTCACACCAAACCAGCCAGCAGTAAATAATCCACGATCGTTTACGGCCTCCCGAACAGGCTGTTGTAGTCTCAATTGATGGTGGTCTACATAGCATATACCTTTTAGCTCAGGCATATGGTTTTGACAGCCCGCGTTGGTGCTGCCCTTAGGGGCCGTGCATGTGCTCCCCCAAAAAAAAACATTGAAAATTGTTTAAATACCTCTATAACTATTGCAATGCACATCATCACATTTTATCCATTTGTACTCATCTGTTAGTATAATATTATAACTTTTTGTTATGAATATTAACTATATATGTAAGAGCATTGAAAAAATCGTTAAGACATACACTTAGATATAATAATTATATTTATAAAATGTCATCATGTTTGTTCAGCCTCTTAAATCAAAGCTGCTGGTTTCGCTTTTTTGAATTTGAAATTCGACTATATACGTATGTATGTATGTCCATCGAGTGCTTGCGATGAAATGCATGGTGGGTTTGGGAGAGCTGACAGCGCCCTCCAATTATGGAGGAACTGCGAGCACTGCCACTGCCTTGGACGAGAAGATGGAGGTATCTCTTGTCAGAGGAGGACTCGAATGGATAGGAAGGGCAGGTGGGCCAGGTTCCCTTTGCACACATGGCAAGGCCGGCGGCCCACCGCATTCGGTTGGTTGGCAGCAGCAAAGGCTGATGGGCCCTGCCGCTTGTGGGCCCCTGAATGGGTTCTTCTCACCAACGAAAATCGATTTATTTTTACCGTTTGTAAATGCGCGCGGTGCCATTTAATCGCCGTTCCTTCATTAGTTCACCACTTTAAATTAAATTTATAGTGTAAATCGTATTCCCTCTATATCTGAATAAAAAGGTTCATAGAGTTGTCTTAGGTCAAACTTTTTAAACTTTGACCGAATTTCTAGAAAAAGTTAAGACTTATGGTATTAAACTAGTATTATTAGATTTATTATAGAATGTATTTTCATAAGGTGCTCATTTTATGACATAGATATTGCTACTCTTTCCCATAAAAAGTTAGTTAAACTTAAAAAAGTTTGACTGCCACGGATTCTATAAATTGATTTATTTAGGGACGGAGGGAGTATTACATTTGGGGTGGTGGTCACAAAAATATGAGCTATAAGACCGGTCACAACATTTAATGCTATGATACATCATCATATTTGATGACTTAATAGGTTGATTATGAAGAGAGATAGAGAGTGTTTCACATAATTTAGTCCGGATGAAATCCATTGTCACAGTTACTAACACAAAAGCTAACGTGGTAGCCTTGGTAATCACACGATGAAAAATTGTCGGCAAAAGATGATTGTTATTTTTCCTTCGTATTACATGAATTTTATTTATACGAGAGCTGGATTGGTGCTTGATGCAAATTGAATTAACGTCGTGGCTAGCGCTCGGACATTCGGGTGCTAGCCCCGTCCGGATGCAGCTCCGAAGCCTGCACCCGCGTCGCATCAGATGCCCCCGTGCTCGCATCAGATCCCGCGCTAGTGACCGCATCCGGTCACCTGCGACCCATCCCACGCCAGCAACCGCGTCCGGCCACCCCGCGAGCCGTCCCATGCCTCGATCCTCCTCCGCGCTCTGTCTCGACACACCCCTTTCCCGGTCCTAACGTCTCATCTCTACAGCATCCGTCCAACTATTGCACATATGCGGTATCCTCTTAAAACATACTTGTAATCTAAATAAAACACATGAAACATGCGTCTAAAACAGGTGAAACATTTGGAACATACATTTGCAACATACGTCTGAATCCGAAACATGTGGAACATACACTTGAAACATGCGTGTGTAGCTATTGCAACATACACAACATCAGATCCTTATTTTGCATCATCCAGATGAAACACATGAACATAAAGATAAAATACGTGAAACATACGGTTGCAAAAGGCTCGTCGACGCGGAGCTCGATGTCAGCGCGGAGTTCGATGCCACAGAGTGACGGGAGGTCGTCGGTGCGAAGCTCATCGGCGGCATGTGCCTCGGCAGTGGCTGTAGCAGGCGGATGGGGGCGCGGCCGTGGCGGGTGGCGCTAGTCCAGGTGGGAGGCACGATTCCGAGCACGATGCGCGGTGGAGGCGGCAAATCCGCATCGACGACGAGCGGGAGGGCGACGGGAGGGAACAAGCGTCGCGGGCGGGGTGTGCATCGCTGGTAGGAGCGAGCGGCTCGAGTCGGAGCAGCGAGGCGGAGTGGGGTGCATGGTGTCCAGACGGACGGACGTCCGCGTCTAAGCATTAGCGGTTGAATTAAAGGCTCTATATAGTTCATGCAATTCTTTATCTAAGCCCGAGGACACTTCTAATAGGCATCTCTAAACTAGTATTAGATGGCACACGAAGAAAGAGAGGGGGACAAAAACCTTTGAGCAAGCATGGATAAAAGAGCTAAGCTCTTTACACGTACCAATGCATGAAAGACATAACTCATTTATTTTTCTCTTGACGCAAAAAAGAGTATACGAATAAATAAGCAACTTACACGTGCTGCATACAATATGAGATAGAATCTTAGAGACGGTACATGCATGACTCTTATTATTGGAGGTATCATTGGATGTCGTACTAACATGCATGAATAATGATGGTGACTAATACGGATAACCACTTTGAGAATTTGCATAATTCAGATATAGTATAAGCATATAGTCCTATACTTTTTTTAATAGACGAATCAGAAGTGAGTGCTTAAACTAGTTTAGTAGTCAAATAGGTTGTCGATTAAAGCGAGACGAACGTATCGGATCACGACATAAGAAAGGAAAGCCCGCGCGCGGCAGGAGGATGCATTGGTCACACTGTCATGGCATGGGTCCCATGTGCACATATAGACATGGACGTCTTTATCACGCTTGACGCATGTTCGTTGATGCTCGGCGGATGGTCATTTAAATTTGTCTTCCCACTCAAGCCCGTATGCTTTAACAGATTGGAGCCCGAATGGATAAGTTGGACCACAAACTTACGATCATACACGTGTACATTCAGTACTAATCTACTCCATTCATTCTAAATTGTAAATCATTTTGATTTTTTAATATGTATCTAGATAGAGCATACATCTAGATACATAATACATGCGAAAAGAAAATAGGACCTGAAATGTGTAAGTACAATTACGCTAAACACGTCAGGAGTGTAAACATAAAAGATGTGCAACACTGAAAACTGATGGACTAGAGCAATGAAATAGTACTACCAAGTACTGGTAGCCGTATTTGACTAGAATAAATGTCAAAGTTTGTAAATTTGACTAACAATTAGTCAAATTATACGTAAATTTAAGCATAAAACTTGCATCAATAATTTTGCATTTTAAGAACCTCTGAGATGATATTATTTTTTTAGCAATTAACTACATATTATAAGAGAAATCAAGGGATAAAATCTAATTTATATGGTTTTTTCTTTGATCAAATACTACTACCATTTTTGGACGAAGGGGCCAAAGTTTCCCAAACAAACACATGGGTCAAACGTGAATTAGCTGCTCAAAATAAAAGGAAACCGGGAAAGCGATAACTGGCGTTCTGGGCTAAAGGCCGAGGCGGTCTCTGTTTCGGCCCGGACAAGCGTCGGGACCACCCAGCCCATGAGTGAGAGGGGGCGCAGAAGGCCTGGGCCAAGCCAACTTTTTCGGCCCGTGCCATGGTGGTTTTGTGGTAGACGTGTCAAACGCTAGCAGCTGTTTTCCCTTGTCCTCCCGGACCTCCCCCCCTGTCAGTTCTCATCACACTGCTCCAGCGTGCAGTGGGCTGGTCGAGTCCACATCCTTATCCTGCATACCAGCAGCGCACAAGGCCGGTTTGCGGCGCAAAACCAGTAAACCACCCCCGGAAACCGGGGCTGGGGGAGGGCGAGGGCGCGAGGCCAAGTGAGCCGCACCTCCGCCCGTCCGCCTCCGGTTTCGTTTCGCGCGCTTGCTTCTCGTGCCCCTGTCCTCTCACTTTATCGCTCTCTTCTCTCACGCACCTCTCTGGCTCTCTAGTATAAATAAAAATACCGGCGCAGCCTGCTCTGCTCGATCCAAAGCGTCCAGTCCAATTCTCCAATCCAAGCAGAGTCTTAATCGATTGCTCCACACCACAAGCACAGTCAGTCCCGTCCCAGTTTGCTTCCATGGCGGCGAAGGCTAAGACCGAGCCTGCAGCTCCAGCCGCGGCGGCGGCGGCGGCAGCGGGTTTGGGCCTCGCTTCAGGGGAGCCGCCGCAGCAGCAGAAGAAGAAGACGGTGGTGGTGGTCGCGGTGGACGACAGCGACCACAGCGACTACGCGCTGGAGTGGACGGTGCGGCACGTGGCGGGCGCCGGCGGCATGGCGGGCGGGGCCGCCGACCTCGTCATCGTCCACGCCAAGCCCTCGCCGTCCTCCGTCGTCAGCTTCGGCGGCCCCGGTACGTCGTCCTCCGTCGTCACCTTCCTCCGATCTCGTCGTCCTCTGTTATCTACATGTTCGATCGATGGATCAGGAGCCGACGAGGCGATCAGGTACGTGGAGGCCGACCTGCGCAAGATGGCGGAGGCCGTGGTCGACAGGGCGCGCCGCGTCTGCGTCGCCAACTCGGTGCACGCCCTCATCGAGGTGGTGGAAGGGGAGCCCCGGTCCGTGCTGTGCGGCGCGGCGGAGAAGCACCGCGCGGACCTGCTGGTGGTGGGCAGCCATGGGTACGGCGCCATCAAGAGGGCGCTGCTGGGGAGCGTCAGCGACTACTGCGCGCACCACGCGCACTGCTCTGTCATGATCGTCAAGCAGCCCAAATCCAAATGAAAATGCCAGTACTATGTATTGCACTTGCAGCGTGCGGCGTGTGTCCTGTGTTGTGTTGTTGTTTTGACACATCTGGATGGACGGTTTCATCTGCATGTCAGCATGTGTACGTCCAACAATATTTAGTCGTCTACCTATTGCGCCGTCTTGTATATTTCCCGTGTCAATTGTCATGTTTTCAGATTTCCTTGTGAGTTGCGACACCAACTCTCACAATGTGGCAATGGTTGGGCTAACAATTTGAGAACCAATGGTTCACGATTTTCCCAATAAGTTGTTGTGATTGGCCCAATCGACCATTATCAATGTATCATGCAATTGCTACTGGAAATTAACATATTTTTTTGATAAACTTAGTCAAAGTTCGAGAGCTTTGATTTAGGACAACACTAAAATGAGAAGTAATTTGGAATGAAGGAAATACATACTATCGGCTCATACCGAGCCATTCGTCATTGGTATGCTCGATGTAGAGACTAGAGAGTTTTCTTTTTAGAGTTCAAGACCATGACGCCCCGGCCTTTCAATTATTATCAAAAGACCAAAATCTGTTACACTCCAGCCGGCAGCGGGAATACGGGATAAAACCACAGAGACCACAGCAAATTTGAACAAAAGGTCTAACGCCAGAACCATCGACATAAAGAACTAACGAGCTAATCGAGCCTATTACATGTCTTTGAGATCTTCATTCAACGCCCCCCACCAAGACATTGCCGGGGCCCTCTTCATCACAGATAGATCTTTAGTAGTAGAGACTAGAGAGTAAGCATGGTCACGCGCCACTGTGCATACCTTGTGTGACGTATTTCACAAGGAGAGCAGCGACGGTGACGAGCTCACTACCATTGCTGAGCTGCTTGGCATGAGAGTAGGCGCTGCATCGGTAGCCCACGTGTAACAGCATCTCCAACCACACTTGGACGATCATCTCCAGCATGTCACCGGTAGATTTGCCTACTAAGCGATCCTCGCCGATGAGCTTCGCACCAAGTTCAGCTCCTGTTTCCCACGTTGCTGCATCATACCTGCCTAATACTTCAATAGGAGGTTGAAGTGTAATGGGAGGTGATCCAGTGCCCAATGTGTCCCCGAGGCGCCGTAGAGAGCTGGCCAGATCCTGGGCTGATTTGAATTCCAGAGCAGACAGAGCATCATTCTTGCGTTTTCCTTTTGGGGGCAGCATTGCATAGCACATCTGGGCATAGGCATTGCGGTCAGCGGAGGGAGGCAACATGTAGGGACGTGCTGCGAGGAGGAAAAGCATGTAATTGGAGAGCGCCTCGACCGCCTTGGAAAGATCAGCCTGTGCGTCGTCCTGATGCCGACCAGTGCCTTTTTGTTGCTCCTTGTACCAATAGAGGTAGATGTCGGTGGCGAGGTGCCAGACGAGTATGCTCTCCTCTACACCCCAGTCTAGGTCATCGTACAGCCCCCACCTCTGCATCGCCTCTCGACCCTGTGCCATGATGATTTCATCTGGGTTCCATTTCTCATCTGGGTTTCGCCTTACATTCTTGAGCAGTTGCTTCACCAACAGCTGCTCGATGGAGGCGGAAATGGGGATGGACCACGAGTATGCCAGCATGTTCCACGGGTCCTCGACTCCCATCCATCTCGCGACCTTGCTGCTTCGGCTGGCCCTGCTGCGAGCGCACAGCTTAAGCATGTTGTGTTGCCCCAAGGAGCGCGACCAGCAGCACCTTCTTCTCCACTCTGCTGCATGGACGAGCCGGCGGAGAGAGGAAACTACACGGGCAAGCAGATGCCATATATTGCGTCCTTTTTGCTTGTGGACCAGCAGGGGCGGAGCACGCCGCATCCGCGGCCTACTCCATCCTTCCAGGAGCACGCAAGTCCCGCTCGAGAACACGACCCTCAGCACTGACGTGATCTCCAGGATGACGGCCCCAACCAATAGGACATAAGTGACAGCAACATCTAATGTGCTGTACAATTCCTTGTGATGATCACCCAATAATTGGAGGAGAAACAGCACTAACGCAACGACGGTGGCTACCAGGGAAATTATGCGGATGCAGAGGCCATGCCAGCTGTGCATCACAGGCGTCTTGGTGTAGAACACGTCGTGCATCAGCGAGAGCTGCATCTCGACCACCTTGTATAGCTCCTCTGCACTCAGATCTGTGCTTGAACCTTCAGTGGGTAACGAACCCTCTAACAGCAAGTCTTTGGGAACTTCCAGCAGTTCGTGAGCTATCTGTAGGAAGGCTTCCGTATCCAGGACACCTCTACTTGTGGCTACCCGCCGACGTTTTGAACTTGCAACGTCTTTAAAAATGAATCTTCGAAACACTGCATACCTTTCAAGAGACCGGTAATTGTTGCCCTCTGGGGTGCTACCCGCGCACCTCAGCGCCCACACTCTCTCCCCGTACTTGAGGACGCCCACCACAAACACGAGGATTGTGGTCGGCCAGAGCAAAGACCGCAGGCCAAGGATGGAAGATTGGTAGATGACATATGCAGCTGCCGCCACCTGCACGGCGAGCGTCTGCAAGTGGCGCAACCACAGCCGGTTGTCCTCGACAGCGTAGGCGGTGATGTTGTCCTGCCCACCGAGGTGAAGGAGCAGGAACGGCGCCCACAACGCCATCAGCTCATGCTCCGGCGACCTGCTGGTCACGGACATATGGCCCAGCACGTATATCGCCGTCGCGTCGGCCAGCATGTACGCTAACCAAACAAAGACCCTTAGCACGCCGGAGTCGATGCACCGGCGGAACTCCGCCAAGATGAGGAGAGTGACCTGGAGCATGAAGCTGAGCAGCACAAGCAATTGGAGACCCCATTCTTTCCATGCATTCACCACGACCTCGGCTCCTGCCATTGATTTCTCTGGCTTGATTCTGAAATAGATTCACATTCACCCATCAATCAACACAAATTAGAGGCTCTTCTTTTTAACATGAATCAACGTTGTAAAGGATGACCATACACTGTATCCTATAATTCCTATTACGGCTTCAGTGGCGAGCGCAGGCGCAGAATGTGGAGAGGATGTATACGCAATCTGTGTTTGTGTGGGAAAAATCTATATATACAGAGAGAGAGAGAGCGCGCGCTAGAGCTCTGAAGCGCCTCCATTTAAATAGGGACCAAATGTGATACAAATACCAGTATCAGGAAGACTGGTATACAAACTGATAGTTCAAGAGTTATACAAAGTGCATAGCAGTGGGCTGGTAACATAGGCCCACATAAGAAACAACGTAAACAGGCTGTAGATGCTTGCTATGGACAGTAAGGTCCGGAGGCAACACACAACACAACGAGCCTGTTCGCTGGTTAGTATCTGACCTGATAAATCCAGCTGGTGCTAATTTATTGTGAGAGAAAAACACGATTGGCTGGCTGATAAGCCCTGGCTGAAACCAACCAGCGAACAGCCTGAGCGTGGCAGCAGAAATATCTTTATTAGCACAGTGCATAGCAGTTTAGTTGTTGGTAAGGGATAGCTGGAATTACATGTAGTCAACATTCGAATTAAATCCACGGGATAACCCAAATAGAAAGAAGTAACTACTAAACTACTCCGCGCATTCCAAATCGTAAGTCATTCCAACATTCTTGAAGAGTCAAAACATCTTAAATTGGACCAAAATTATAGAAAAAATTATAAAAATTTATGACATCAAATAGGTATACTATAAAAATATAATTAACGTAGAATGTAATGATACTTATTTGGTATCATAAATATTAATATTTTGTTATACAATTTGGTCAAACTTGAGATGCTTTAACAAATTGTTCAATGGTGAGAATGAGGATACAACCTTTCAGATGAATGACTCTTTTGATGACATCAACAGGATCTTTGTGCGGAGGATCCAAGAATCCAAGGTCAAAGAAGCATTGAAAAGGATGAAAGTGGATAAGGCGATGGACTCAGATGGTATCCCAATCGAGGTATGGAGATGCCTTTGGGATATAGTTGTATTATGGCTAGCCAAGTTTTTCAACCATATTTTTTGGTCCAACAAGATGTCTGACAAGTAGAGGAGAAGTATATTAGTACCGATCTACGAGAGCAAGAGAGATATCTAAAGTTGTACTAATTACAAGGGACTTAAGTTGATGAGCCATACTATGAACTATAGGAGAGAGTTATCGAGCATCTCTTGAGAGGAATAAGGCGGGTCTATATGAACCAATTGGGGTTCATTCCAGGAAGATCAACAATGGAAGCCATTTTCCTAACAAGATAAATTATGGAGTGGTATGAGGAGAAAAATAACCTACACTTGGTTTTCATTAACTTAGAGAAGGCTTATGACAAACCACTAATGAATATTATGTGTTGGGCTTTGGACAAAGCATAAAATCCCAACGAAGTATGTTAGACTCATTAATGACACGTATAACAATGTTGTGACTAGTATTCGAACAAGTGATGGAGACACGTGTGACTTTTCCGATTAGAATAGTACTTCATCAAGGTTCAGCTTTGAGCCCTTATCTCTCTTAGCCTTGGTGATGGATGAGGTCACAAGGTGGATAGAAGGTGATATCCCTTGGCATATGCTTTTCGCGGACAATGCAGTGCTAGTTGATGAAAGTCGGGTAGGAGTAAATAGGAAACTCAAGTTGTAACGGGAGACTCTAGAGTCCAAAGGTTTTAGACTTAGTAGAACTAAAACTGAATATATAAGATGTAACTTTGGCACTACTACTGTCAGGTATCAGTATTAGGGATACCTAGAAGAAGAAAGCTGATGGTCGCGAACGCTAACTCACCCGGATAGTCAAGAGCGTATTTTGGTCTCGCTTGACCCCGAGGGTGCGGGCTCCGTGTCGCTCGACCCCAAGGGCGTGGGCTCTGTCACGCCCGACCCTGAGGGTGCGGGCTCCGTCTCGCCGGACCCCCTCAGCGCGGGCTCCGTCACATCTAACTTTGAGGGCGCGGGCTCCGTCACGTCTGACCCTGAGAGCGTGAGCTCCATCTTGTCCGACCCCTCGGACGCGGACTTCACCTCGCCAGACCCCTCGAAGGGGGATTTTGCCTCGCTCGACGGGGGTCCGTACCGCCTCCAACCACTACGGATCTAAGAGTACGAACCCAGGATCAAACTTCTGACACCAGAAAGGGATTAGGCGCGTCTTGACGTGACCTGCGGCCATGACGGGCCATACCTGAGGACTCACGTCGCCAACAGTGTCGGACGTGCCGATGCTATGCTACCTAATCCCCGTACAACTTCCGACGGGGGTATCTGCTAACCATGCCGCCCGCCGGGACGGAACGGAGCGCCACGACCGGTTGACGACGCCCGCGTATAGCGCCAGTGATGAACAGGGTCGCGACGTGGAGCCGTCCCCGTCATCATCTACAGGACCGGCGGGACCCGCGTAAAGGAGATGAAGGGCACCGTGACCCCGGAGGTCTTCTTCCTCCTCACTTTTTTCTCTCTCTCTCTCTTTCTCTTGTGTAACCTGTGCGTTTTCCTTCATCTATAAAAGAGGAAGTAGGACGCTCCACGAAGGGCAAGCTGAACGGCTGAACGAGCTCAACGAGACTCAACTCCGTTCGACCCTTTCACCAGAGACTTGGGACCCGCTCCCTCTCTCGCCCATTTGTAACCCTTATTACAAAACCAATGATTCGTAACACAGCGAGGAGAAAGACAGTGATCAAGTTATGCCGATGGACGTTGGGACATTCCTTTGAACTTCAATATAAATTCGTGTGTCCTCCAGCACACCATCCGGGTCAGACGCGTAAATCACAAATTTACTGGTCAGTGATTCGAAACACCGACTGAGGAGAAACAGAAAGGATACAATATTTGGGACAGAGAGAAATGGGGTCACCGTCTGGCTTCCCGAGTGTCAAACAAATTTCTGAGTGAGCAGGATGGACACGGATCCCCCGTATATGTATATGTATATGATGTTATATATGATATACATATATACAAAACATATAGCTACAAGTATATACATATATATACAATACTCTGTGTGTGTAAAAAAGTTTTTATGTGTTGTGTTTAAAATAAGAAGGATAATAATATAATCAAAGGGAATATAATAGACTTGCCGTCGTTGCAGTCTTCGGGCGCGATACGAGTTTTTAGGCTCCGGCTCGTGGTACTGGCGCGTAAAGGAGATTATACTGGACTCCTAGCTTCTGCTACACGTCGGTCACGAACTCTTTGTCAGCTAATTATGCACAAAATAAAACGAAAAATGCACTTAAATTTGAATTGAAATTTAAATAATAAGCACTAAAAAATATGAAACTGGTACGGATGGATAGGGATTGAATTTAAATGAATTTAGGAACAAGAATCTATGGACTCGGAACTCGGGTGAGTGAGATATTGGCTTCAAAATATTGGCTGTTTAATAAATCCGAAAAAGAAAGTTGATTTGGATTAGATGCGTGAAAAGACCCATGGTTTTAGCTGGTTTGGGCTTGCAAGCTTCTCATTGGGCTGCCAGCCTGTTCTGTGTCTTGGCTGCACATTATGGATGAAAACGGTACGGATATTTATTCGACCGTCCGTTCGACCGAACAAATATGAACACTTATCTGGATAGTTACTCGGATATCCGTAATTTTTTTCGGATACGGATACTAAAATGGATATCTTAGGCGGATATCAAATACGGATGTAATATCATCGATATCCGGCGGATATCGGATAATCCGGATAAGTATCGGATATTTAAAAACGGATATTATCCGGATATTATTCAAACGACCTTGGATGGAGAAATGATCAAAATAAAAATTGTAGATCTCAAAAAGTTATGAAACTTTGTTGTTTACAACTTTTTCGTTTGAAATCATTTAGTGCTTCAAAATTTAAACCGTCCAAACTTTCTCAAATGGAAAACTAGTTTATAGGCGTTAAAATTTAAAAATCATAAATTTAAACCATCCAAACTATCTCAAATGGAAAGTTGACCAAAACAACAATTGTAGATCTTGATGAGTTGAACAAACTTGGTATTCAAAACTTTTCAATTTGAAGTCATTTAGAGTTCATAATACTAGAGTCAAAGTGTTGTTTTTTTCATTTGACCAAATTTGACTTGGTCAAACTTGCTCAAATGAGACACTAAATGACCTCAGATGAAAAAACTCTGAATACCAAGTTTGATCATCTCAGCAAGATCTACATTTGTTACATAGCTCATTTTCGCATTTGAGAAAGTTTTATCAAACACTAGTCACAAATTCTTGAATCTCATATAGACTTTCTGAAACTATGTCACACACTTGTGAAATTTGAACTATATTTTGTTCAAACTTTCTCAAATAAAAAAATGGCCTATATAAGGATTGTAGATCTTGATGAGATGAACAAATTTGGTATTCAAAACTTTTCAATTTGAGACAATCTAGGGTTCCGAAAACTAGTTTATAAACGTCGAAATTTAAAAATCACAAATTTAAACCATCCAAACTATCTCAAATGGAAAGTTGACCAAAACAACAATTGTAAATCTTGATGAGTTGAACAAACTTGGTATTCAAAACTTTTCAATTTGAAGTCATTTAGAGTTCATAATATTAGAGTCAAAGTGTTGTTTTTTCATTTGACCAAATTTGACTTGGTCAAACTTGCTCAAATGAGACACTAAATGACCTCAGATGAAAAAACTCTGAATACCAAGTTTGATCATCTCAGCAAGATATACAATTGTTACATAGCTCATTTTCCCATTTGAGAAAGTTTTATCAAACACTAGTCACAAATTCTTGAATCTCGTATAGACTTTCTGAAACTATGTCACACACTTGTGAAATTTGAACTACATTTTATTCAAACTTTTTTAAATGAAAAAATAGCCTATATAAGGATTGTAGATCTTGAT